AAAATATGACTGCTCACTGACAACGTACCAGGTCACCCAAGAGCTCTAAGACACACAACAAAATTCATGTTGTTTTCATGCCTGCTAATAAAACATCCATTCTGCCACCCATGGATCAAGGAGTCATTTCAACTTTAAAGTATTATTATCTAAGAAATACATTTCATAAGGCTATAGCTTTCATAGATAGTGCCAGAGATGTGACTGAATTGCTGCAATCTCATGATAAAACTTAAATAGATGAGGAGTTGCTTATTATGGGTAAGAAAAGAAAGCGGCTTCTTGAGAAGCCTGGTTAGATACTGCAAAGACTACTGAAATGACAAAGGATTTGGAATATTATATAAACTTAGATGATAAAACAGCAGGACGGTTTGAGAGGACTGACTCCAATTTTGAAAGAATTTCTACTGTATGTCAAATGCTATCAAACAGTATTGCATGCTACAGAGAAACTGTCAGTGGAAGGAAGAGTCAGTCAATTTATGTAGCAAACTTCATGGCTATCTTATTTAAGAAATGGCCACAGCCATCCCAATCTTCAGCAACCACTACCCTGATCAATCAACAGCCATCTACATTGAAGCAAGACCTCCAACAGCAAAAAGATTGCAACTCGCTGAAGGCTCAGATGATGGTTAGCATTTTTTACCAATAAACTATTTTTTAATTAAGGTATGTTTGGGGTTTTTTTAGACATAATGCTATCACACACTTAACAGACTACAGTATAGCATACACATAACTTACTTTTATATGCACTGGGAAACAAAAAAATACATGTGATTCACTTTATTGTGATATTCACTCTGGAACCAACCCACAGTCTCTCTGAGGTATACCTGTATTAATAATGCCCCTTTCATTCTCAAAAATATCAGTTTGGACAATAAATAATATGGTTTAGTTCTACCTCTGAAATACCTTTCAAATATATCCTTAACTCTCTATTCCCATTTTCATCTTCCTACTTCAGGTCCAATTCTCTCTGGACCACTGTAACATCTTCCTAATCCATCTTCAGTCTTGCAGTACATACATTCTTCAGTAAGGTTTCCAGAGCTATGTTTCAAACACAAGTATCTGTACCTGTGACAGTCCAGCTCAGAAAATTCTGATGGTTCTCTATGGCTCGGAGAATAAAGTGTGCCTCCCTTCAAAGCCTAACATGACCAGACTCTTGTATTTTTATCTCCTACTAGATGTTACAATTTACCCTATATATCAGTTATCCTTATCAACCCCCCTCCTAGCTTTGTGCCTTTGCTCATGTTATTTCTGTAGTCTAGAACTACGCAGTGCAATACAGTAGTCACAAGATACTCATCACTATTCACGGTAACTAAAACTAAATGAAATTAAAAGCTCAGTTCCTCAGTTGCACTAACCACACTTCGAGTGCTCACTGATAAGCACACTGAGCAGTGGCTGCCATATTGGACAGGGCAGATACAGAACATGTTCATCATACAGCAAGTTCTTTGGACAGCCCTGGTGTACACCAGGGGTCAGCAAACTCTTCCTTTAGGTCTTGTGGGCCATGTGGTCACTGAACAGCTGCTCAACTCCACCACTGTAAAGCAAAGCCATCATTAGAAACATGTAAACTACTCAGCATGGATGTGTTACAATAAAATCCTATTTACAGTAGGTGGTGGGCCAGCTTTGGCCTACAGACCATAGTTCGTATACCCTTGGACTAGAAAGTCTTCTTCTCAACTGTGCTTTCTACTTATCTTTGAAGCCCTGACCCAAATGTGAAAGTTCTCCATCCCCTCAATGAGAATCAATATGCTCTCCTTTACATCCACAGGATTTTGCACTTCTATTACTGCATGTGCTTGCAGTGCTCTTAATCTGTGTCACAGGTACAGATACGTGTATTAGAAACCACCAGGCAGTCGATTCTTCAAGGGCAAAGATGAAGTATCTGAGTAAGCATTCAAGCATTTAGTCTCACTGTTACTATTTTAAAAAAGAAAATTTCACAATAATTCTACAGTGTTCAATTTTAAATGCAGTTATATTCCCTTCTAAAAAGGGTATTACATCAAAATGTGGCTCAGTGAATAAACTCATAATTATCTAAGCTCTTACTCTTTTCCCAAATTACTAGATTTAAATATTTACTTAAATTTGACTGTAACATGATGAATTTTTCATCAAAATATAACATTTACATACTTAATTACCCAAATCTATACATAATAAAACTAGCATAGCTATAGAACTCTCTACCTGAGTAGAATAATTTCACAACTAAAATGGCAGAGCTATGAATAGTGACTCAGGAACAGTTAGCAGGGCTTCCAAGGCAAAAGTCTATTTGTACTATAATATTCTAAATCTTGCTTTAACATGTAGATCACCATGTCACTCAAATCTGGGTAACAGCTGTGTTTCCTCAGGGGCACTTGACCGACAGCAGGCAATCAATGTGTTAAGAGTCAAAGGAAGATAGAAAATAAGGTTTTGATCCAAGCATTTTGTTGATTCGGCTGGTTGGTAAGTTCCTGGAGGAGCTGATGATACCATTTATGGCTATTGCTAATTTATGTTATGTTTTAAAACCCAGGATGATGTATCAGTTATAAGGTAAAACTGAGGGTTTTTTAAACTGACTAGAGCTCAGCATTACTAGAAACCACAGCTACTGCCAAATTCAAAGTTGGTGAAAATGACTCATTTGGGATAATACAATCACTAGAATATTCTCCTGGATTTTTACACGATAGATGAAATCGTGAGTTTATTCTATTCTCTTACTAGCAACCTCTCCCTACAACACTGTCAAAGGGACACTTACCAAGTGTCATCAACACTCTTGTGGAAGAATTCAAATACAAACTCCTACACCAAGGTCATTTGCTATACAAACAATATAATAACCTTCACCTTAAAAACCAAATACTAGTAATATGATAAGAAAAAGAAACAAAATACTGAGTGTGAAATAAACAACACTTTACTTGTTTACTGAAGCTGTAGGTGAAGTCTGGTGAGTCCTTTCATCTTCTGCTTGCGAACTACTAAATTCAGAGTCCTGAAACCGCTTTCCAATCTTTGGCCGCTTTAGATGACTACTTCGAGCACGAGTGGAAACAGGTGTCTTATCATGACCTGAGAAAAACCAGCAACACTACAATGAATTGATTATGTATGCAAAGGATTACCTCTTAAACACACAGAAATGCAGGAACTACGCTGGTTCACCTGTATCCCCGCCATCACACACTTCCTTTCTCTCACTTACATCAGGCTAAGAAACCATGTCAGTGTCTCTTTCTAAATTACAAAATAATGTCACTATTCATTCCTCACATTTCTGTGCTACCCTGAGCTCTGCAAAGTGCTTCTGTGTTTTCACTTATATCCTCGGCCAATAATCTTGGAAAATAAACGAGGTAGACAGTACTGTCCTTATTTTACAGGTAAGGAAATGAGGAAAAGAGGTACGACAGCTTACCCACCTGTTCACATGGCAAAACCAGTGGTAGTGGTGGCATTAGAACCCAGATCTAGATTTTAATGCTGGGTAAGTCTTCACTTACTCTAAAGGACACACACACATGAACACATACTTAATTCTAAGTGTCTCATGCACTTACTGATAGACCAGGTGAATTTCTTACCTTCAGAAGTGCTTGCAAAGGCATCTTTTAGAGAATCAATCTAAAATAAAAACCAAATATAGATACAGATAAAAACCAAAAGTTTTAGATCCTTTTTTCTCCCTATGGAGCTACTTCATTCAGTGTCAAAGAAAATCTTTTAAAAATTTTTTCAAATAGCATTTTTCATGCTCACTATTCATCAATAAGGAAAATTTAGTTAAGAAATAAAAAGGCTATATCATAGCCTGTTTATTATAAGCCTAACAACTTATCAAGCCATCTGTTAAAGTGATATACATTGCAGTTTCCCGAGTCCTGTCCTCACCTACCTTCTCTTCTCAGTCCATATTCTCTTCCTGTGTAATTTTATCTGCCACATTTACTTCCAGATCTACTTGCTGATGAATCGAAATACACAGTTTAATCTCCCCAACTTTCCCCCTGATTTCCAAAGCTCTATTTCCAATGAAATATCTCTCCAGTGGATACTTCACCCAATTTCACATACAACCTGTCCCAAACTGAACTCTTATTTTTCCCAATATTATCTTCTATCTAGGTTAATGGCGGTAACAATTCATTATGCCATTCTAACCAAAAACCTGTGAGGCAGTAATAACTTCTTCCTATCCCTCATTCAATCAGCCACAAAGCCTGTCAATTTTTACTCTGAAGAATCCCTCAAGACTGCCCCCTCTTTGGTATGACCAATCATCTTTATTACTAATGATTTTAAATCAGGCATGTCTCATCTTTAACATGCGCTCCTCAATGGTACCCCTCACTCTAATCACGTGCCCTGTAATCTCCTCCACTATCACAGCTGATGCTTCCAAGTCACAAAAGGTACCACTTCTTTGCTTTAAAAAATATACAGATAACATCAAGATTTGTAATGGTTGAGCACCACCTAGAATACAAACTCTCAACCTCTTACAAACCAACGTGCCATTTTCTTTTACACCTGTGCTTTTTACATGCTATCTGTTGGAATGCCCTATCAACCTTTATCATAGAACTCCTGTCTACTCTTTAAAAGTCAGCTCAGTTACTACACTTATTCCAGTCCTTAGGCAGAGTTAATCATACTCTGCTATGTACCTTCAATTATTTGCTCTATATTCTATTATGGCAATAACTACCGTGTAGTATATTTGTTTACTTATTTGCTTCCAGTAATGGACCATCTACTTCCCCCATGCTTCTCAGAACAATATTTCTGTATGTCCAATGCTTGCCACAGTACCTATTTTATTATATAAATTGCTGTCCGTTCATTCATTACACATTTATTGAAACCCTACAATATGGCAGACACAAAGACTTCAAGAAGATCTATTTACACGACACTGACAAACAAGGAAACAACCCTAAAAATTCTGCCTTCAAGAAGCCTACAGTTCAACTAGACATGGCTAACACATAGATAGAGATGAATAAATAAAAGGTACCAAAAGTATCCTAAGAGAAATACATGTAATATTTATGCCCCAAAACAGAAAAAAAAAATCAGATAGAAATATCAACATCACCTAAAGACTAAATCAGGTAGTGATTGATCACTTTATAGCATATATCAAAACATCAAGGTGTACACCTTAAATATGTACATTTTTGTGAATTATACCTCAATAAAGCTAAAAAAAAAACTATGTAGTTAAAATGAACAAACAAAACCACTTCCCCTGTGGTTACTGATGAAAAGAGATAAATAGTTTAATAGAAAATTATTTTCCTTGAATTAAAATACTAAAGTAATATGAAGACTATATATTTTAAAAACAAAAATCCAATTTATGCTGCTGACCTTATAATATGATACCATCTGAATATACTTTCATTAAAAT